TGGCGCCTTTGAAGGCTAAAGGAGGTCCAGATGAAAGAGGGGCTGACTGGAAAAATCCACAGAGAAATGTATTTTACAGATTAACATGCCACAAACCCTTAATCAAAAATCAACAGGCGACAGAGGTTGCATCCGGAAGTTGTTGGAGGAAGAATGTGGAGAGAAAGGACATCTGGAGGGGCAGGAGGGGTTGAAATAATCTCTGCAGCTCTGCGCTGACTCAGGGAAAGTTAGAAGTACAGAAGTCTGGGACAGGGAAAAGAAATACTAAGTAGAGTACAAGTTAATGTAGAAATTATCATTTTGTGGATATACACATATGCTGTGTTTTGATAAGAAACTGTTTTTGATATACCTCTCAGTATTTAATGTGTTATATAATACTGTTATGATATAATACATAATGCTGACATTAAATGTTACTATAAAAATCTCTTATTTCACCTTTATATTAGTCTATTAAGAGGTAATAGTGCCCCACGTTATGTTTGAGGAAACTACTGTTGAGGGGAAAAAGGAGTTGATCAATCTTAAGTGTGAATGCATAGAGATGAGAAGGATTATGGCTGAAGAGAATGAGGCCCCAAGTTTAAACCAATTTTTTAAAAAATATTTACCATACTGCCTCCTAAACTTTTCTACTTTAAACTAGTAATACAAATTGTAGACACATTTTTGAAAGAGAGGAGGTCTTAATATCCATTCTTATGTAAAGGAAACATTAAACAAACAAAAAAAAGAAACACTCACGGACACAGGCAATGGTACAGGGATTGCCAGAGGGAAGGGCGTGGGGCAAGGGAGAAGAGGGTAAAGGGAGGTAAATGCTGATGGAAGGAGCCTTGACTTGAGGTGGTGAACACACAATACAATATGCAGATCATGTATTGTACAGTTATACACCTGAAATCTATATAACTTTAATAACTGAGGTTACCCCAGTAAGTTCAATAATAATAAATTTTAAAAATAGTGGATGTACATATTTATTGTGTATCTAAATTACTTGGCTAAAAATGATAGATTCACTGGACAGTTTTAAGCAATCCTAGTCAGTTCAGAGGCTGCCTTTGGGGACATCAAGCACACTTTTGAGAAATCCAGTGTTTCAATTATGGTTCTGGATTGCAAACAACTCAGCCTGGATTTGAAGGCAGTCATAACAAAGTAGGCATGTTTGGCAGGCAGAATATTGGCCCTCCAGAGATGTCCAAGCCTCTGTCCCCAGAATCTGGGAATATGTTAATTTGCATGGCTAAAGGGACTTCGCAGGTATAAATTAAGGATTTTGAGATTTGAATGGGGAGATTATTCTGGATTATACAAGTGAACCCAGTGTAATCACCAGGGTCCCTGTGAGTGACAGAAAAAGGCAGGAGGGTTGGAATCAGAGAGGGAGATGTGATGAAAGAAGCAGATGGAAAGAGGAGGTGTGAGGATGAAAGCCCAGGCCAGAATGATACACTTGCTGACCGTGGTGACGGAGGAAGGAGCCTTAAGCAAGGGAAAGCAAGCAGCTTCTAGAAGCTGAAAAAGGCAAGAAAACAGATTCTTCCTAAGACCCACCAGAAGACATAATGATAATCAAAAAAGACCCATTTTGCACTTTTGAAATCTGGAATTGTAAGATAATAAATATGTGTGCACATACCATTACCTTTGAAGTTATTTTTATGGCAACTAATACACGAGCATATTGAGGTGTTTATGTTTAAATGTACTTCTAAAATACATACAATTATGGTTCTAGGTATAGCAAATGCATATGTCCTCCTATCGGATCTCTTCATATGTTATAATTAGTTTAGGATTTCCCTTGGGTATTAGAGCAGATGTTTACATTGAAAAGTGAAGTGTTCCAAGCCCCACCTAATCCCCAAGAAACATGCTAAATACTCAGTAGTGACCTCATGATGAGCCTTTTCTTCTCCATGCAGATTTGATTTGCTCGGTTGTCTATTCATTCTTTTAACTGCCTGAATACACTATCACTCATGTTAGATGTTCAGTTAATGTGTCTAAAAAAAAAAAAAAAAGCATCAGTGAATGAAAAAAAAAAAGAATGCAATTATCCCTGTCGTGACTACTCCTACTTAGTTTTGACTAACGTAACAAAATCACCTGAATAAATATACATTATTCCAAACAGAGTACACTAAGAAAAATAAGGTAATTTTTCTAAACGGTTTGTGTTTTCTTTTCACTATTAATGAGGAGCGGTAAGTGAGAATGTATTTTGGATCTCTCTCTCTGGCATGACTAACATCCACTAAAGTTTCTCCTTAACCAAGAGTTACCCTGTGAGAAATGTCATCACTGATAAAATGACATTAGTTGTCTGACTGTAGAAGTAATTTTAAATCATTCACCAAAAAACCATAAACCATTTAGCTTTAAATATGATAATTGAGGAAATCATGCCCACTTGAACATAAAATGTCAGAAAGCATTTACAAGCTAACTCAGGATATATCCCTACTTCTTCCCTTGGCTTGTTAGACATGATTCAGCTTAATGATAAAAGAAAAATATACTGATTTGAATTTCACCATATTTACTACAGTAACTCTAGTTTCCCCATCTTGGTGAAAAAAATGGCACTACTTTCAAAACAGATTATTTGTTTGAAGATATAGAAATATTAGGTATTTTACAAGCTAGTTGTTCTCTTCTCATTTTGATTTAAGGGGAAAAGTTAAATGAATATTTAATTATGAAAAATAATATTTTATTTAAATCATTTATATTCTAGGTACCTTTACAAAATTATAGTATTTCTCATTTTTGGAGTAGAGCAATATCAAAATCAACAAATGAGCCAAAATGGAATAAAACAATTAAGATGCTTAAGGGAATTTAAGATAAGGAAGAATTTAAAATAATTTGGAAAACTATTGCTTAGTCAATAATTAGTGGAAAATTGTCTATAATGAAAGAAAAATTGAGCTAGAGCCATACCCCATATCATATAGAGCAATAAACATCTAATGGTTTAAAGAACTAAAAACCAAAAGACTACTTAAAAAAATATCAAGTAAAAGCTTTGGTAAATTTGGATTATGTAAATTTTACCTAAAAAGAGCCAAAATCAAAAGCCATGAAAGACAGACCTATAAATTCGAGTATGTCAAATTTAAAATTTCATTAGAACTTTAACTATTAAAATAATTAAAATATAAATTATGCTTTGAAAAACATCTGTACTATATTTAATAAATAATTAGTGTGCAGAGTATACACCACATATATAACTCAGAAAATCATATATGTTCCAACAGAAAGTGAATATAAGCTTTAATCAGGGAAATGTGTATTCAAAACCACAGGGAGATAGCTAATTAGATAGATAAAACTTTTACAGAGTTGGAAAACAATGTTGGAAAATAAGATCTCTCTTTCACTGTTGATGAGTATCTATTGGCAAAAGTTAATGAGCCCACTTGATATATATACCAAAAATTTAAATGATTCTGATCTTTTTTAAAAAGGCTTTATTTATTTTATTTTTAGAGAGTGGGGAAAGGAGGGAGAAAAAGAGGGAGAGAAACATCAATGTGTGGTTGCCTTTAATGAACCCCCTCCTGGGGACCTGGCCCTCAACACAGGCATGTGTCCTAACCTGGGAATCAAACCAGCAACACTTTGGTTCGCAGGCCTATACTCAATCCACTGAGCCACACCAGCCACGGCTAAATGATTCTATCCTTAAATTCAGAACTTTCATCTCTGAATTACAACCTTCATTAATATTTTCACATGTAAAAATAATGAATATCTAAGATTTACCATGATATGGTCTCATAATTATGAAATATTAGAAACAACCTAAATGCTGATCAAAAGGGAAATTTTATATTATATATTTTAGAGTCTTCATAATATGGAATATGATGTAACCATTAAAAATAATGAAGTATTTATTGACATTAAAATTTATCCAGAACATATCACTCAATATAAAATTAAGTCTTAGAAAACATAAAACATGATCCAATTTATGTTTTTTAAAAAAGTTATTTGCGTAAAACACACCATATAAATGAATAGAAAGGATTATCAAATTCTTTAACAGGGATATCTCTTCAGAGGGGACTATGTGATGACAAGATTATGTAGATACTTCATTTTGATGTTTTTTTCTATTTGTTTTATATATTTTGTAACCTAAAATATATGTATTTTGCTATTAAAAAACAAATAATCTCTTTTATGAACATTTCCACATTTTGAAGTAAGAGTATGCAGATTTTAATAACTACTTTCCTTTAAATCACGCTAGTTTTCTTATCAGAAAGCACCAGCAAGGCTGTGATCATTAAATAACTTATGCAAATTAAATATATGATATAAAATACAGAACAAACACAAGCTTATCAAGATAGTGTTACTTATATCTCGCAGCCTAGCTTGCCACACAAACTTTTTCACCTGCCGTCTTCCAAGGTTACACATTTGTATTAAATTTAATTAAAATTCATAAAGTTTAAAATTAAGAAGAGAAATCCCTCCGTATTCCCATTTATCTTCTGTACTAGATTTTTAATTCTTGATTGATTATGTCAGATTTATTTTGGTTTTTCCTCCCATTTTTTTAAGCAAAACAATCCAGTAGTAAGTGCCTCAATTTAGGGGCGCTTCCTCCGTTTCCTTCTAACTTTCCTTGGCTTGATTTTATAACAGTGTTGTCATGATAAGCTCCTATGGTCCTCAAAATAATTCCTTGCTTTCCTTTAAGAAATATTTGACTCTCCTCCATTTGGCCATTCCTTCTGGGCTGAAATTCAAAGGACATCGCAGCTGAAATTCAACCTTAAAAAGTAAAACACCTCTATGGATATTTCAGGATTACAGAAAAATATTGTTGGGTTGACTTTGTCTATAATATTTCTATGATTGCAGAAACAGAAGGGAGAATATTTTTCAAGACCCGGTGTGACCAAGAATGAAATAAAATGATTGTGGCGAGCCTTAGCCCAGCGGCGACAACCCAGGAAACTGACAGAGCCGAGGCAGCTCCTAGGACGTCAGCGGAGAGGTTGACAGAGCCTGCCAAGGAGCCAGATGCTGCTGTCAGAAACAGGACAAATGGACTGCAGTTTGGTGTCTGTTTCCTGTGATTAGCATCAGCAGCACCCGTCACTCCTTTTTCCAGATTAATTAGTAAAGTCTGGTGTGAAGAATTTCAATAAAATGTTTGTTCAAAAGGGGGAAAAGAAACATCTGTTTTAGAGTTGTTTTTCTCTCTTATTCACAGCCTGTGCAATGTGTGTATGTGTTGTTGTCTTTTTATATTTTGTTTCTGTGCTTACATTTGCTGGACCTTAAAGCAATGCTCAAGCAGAGTTAAAGACGGTAGTGCTTGATTCGTATTTTAGGATTCTTTTCTAGTATGGGTTCAAGGTTCAGGATTTAATGTTTTATACTTTTCCTTTTTTTTTCATTCCTTCCTTTGCCTCTTCCATCTTTCTTTTTCTTTTATGTTTTATTATAAAAATAGCCCTTTAAATCATAGTTCAGTTTCAGATAAGAAGCAAAACAATGTATTAAAACCAATGATACCTTCCATGATGCAAAGCTTAAAAGAAACCCCACTATACTGTGAAAAGCCGAGGAGACTAGGACCTGAAGCAATTCTTACCTCTTAACCATACAAATGTAGGTTTTGTTTTCCTCTCAGCCTCTCACATGACAGTTACTGGTTGATTAAAAAATAAATAAAAAATAAAAACACAGAATAGCCAAAGCCTAGTATAAATTGTTATATAGTTTACAGTTTGTTAATTAAAAGTCTATGACATATTTGAAAGTTTGTTTTTCTATAAGAACATGAGGAAAACAAGTCAGACTTGAATAGAGCCTACAGTCTCCATGTAGCTCTCATGTATGTTGCCTTATTTTGTCTTTACAACACAAATGTGAGATGAGGAAACTCAGTATCATAGACTTGCTCAAAGGCAGGCAGCTGAAAAGTGTTAGAACAGGGACTCACAACCCTGGATTTTCCTTCTCCAATTTTAGAGCTTTTTTGATTATGCTACTGAAACTTCAAGAGAAGAACATAACCCTTTAAAGAGAAATATATATATAAAAGATTCTTTAACGCATTGGTGCAGCTATTCAGATGGGTGAGTCAAGTACACTTCTTTATCTTAAGAAAGGATAGTTAGAGGAATAGACAAATGCCTTATTACTACAGCCAGGAGTCCATTTGTTTTAAAGGATATGTCAGACTGCATTAGGGTTATTTAAACAAGGACGTGCCATTTGATTTAGTAGTATTAGATTACGTTTGCATCCATAACCTCACAAGTTTTACAGTCCCACTTTTATAAAAAGATTAGTTAAGAATGGTAGAGCTGGCATACAGATGAAGTATTCTTATCTGAGTCCATTTACTGAGTGTCTTTCTCTATACATATTACATTCATCTCTCTCCGTCTCTATTCATCTACTTAAACAGAGTTTCATGTCTCTCACCTAGCAAAATGTAAGTTACTTCAGTAGCCTGTTCTTGGAAAGCTATGTACATGTATATTCACCACCTGTAGAGGGGTATACATATTCAACATCTCCATGATACAAGGCTAAAGGAGTGACCTTCGAAGGGCACTTGTAACAGTTTAAGATGCCTGTGCTTTATTAGTCAATAGTCAAAGACAGTAGATCTCTAATTACATAAAAAAAATTGGATACCTAATATTGAATATATACTGGAATGAAAAAATAAAATTTTAAATAAAAATATCCCTCAAAAAACTGTATATTGAATTTTTAGTGTTAATAAATGCACAAATTACAGCAATTTTAAAGAGATGGCATCATATGCTCTTCTGAGAAAGAGCACTTTAGATTTAGAAGCATGATTTCTTGGTGAGAGTATTGTTTGTGGTTCAAAGATCTGCCTTGTGGTCATTTTGAAATCTGTTTATCAACTTTTCAAAGGCAGCTGAAATCTCTGATCTGCTTCTCACCTGAATCAGACACCTAAGGGACTTCTAGTGCACGTTTTCCTCATTCAAAGTCATGCCAATTTGGGGGCGAGAAGAAGTCTACAGAAGGAGAAACCTCAGAGTAAGTGGGTTATTCCAACTTTAAATTAAAAATCAGAAAGGGCAAGATGACTCCTTCCATGGCTAAACAAGGCTAAAGAGCCATATCCGAGGCCTTAGGGAGAGTAACAGCCACCACGATAGTCATAGAGCTTATCTTGCATATTTAAATGTGGAGGACAAATAGTCAGCTGAAATTATTTTTTCACCTAATAGGTTTTTACTTAAATTACTTTGATAATCTATTTATAATTAAATTCTAAAATGACTAATATATAGAATATTAGGTTAGTTTTTTTAATTTTAGTAATTTTATAATAGGTATACAGAAATATTAAATTACTCCCTGCAAGATAAAATATAAGATGTATGAAATGATAAATCTGTAATTATATTTGCAATCAGCTTGCAACACCATATTTGACTTATATATGTGAAACCAAAATGATTAAACTTGAGGCAAACATGACAAGCCATCAGCTGTGAATCAAATTGTGTGCAATTTTGTCACATAAAAAATAAAAAGGTATTATATGTTAACATGAATGAAACTTGCAGAACTGGAAATTGTTCTGAGTGAGCCAGTGAGAGAACGGTGAGCGAATGTGAAGGCCTAGGACAAGACTGTACACTACTGTAGAGTTTATAAAACTGCACATTTAGGCTATACTAAATTTATCCAAAAGTATTCTTTCTTTAATAATAAATTTAATCTTAGCCTACTATAAATATTTTGTTATAAACTTTAATTTTTAAAAAAATTTTCAGCTCTATGAATTAACACTTAGCTTAAAACACAACACATTGTACAACTGTACAAAATTATTTTCTTCATATTCCATCAGCTTTTTCTTATTTTTAATTAATTAATTAATTAATTTATTTATTTATTTATTTTTTTTTACTTTTTAAACTTTGTTGAAAACTAAGACACAAACACATCAGCCTAGGTCTACACACGGTCAGGACCACAATATCACTGTCTTCCACTCCACATTTTGTCCCACTGAAGGTCCCTTCAGGGGAAACAACACGCATGAGGCGGTCCTCTTTTGTGGAAACAATGCTGCCCTCTGGAATACCTCCTGAAGGACCACCCTGAGGTTTTTCTTAAGGAAGTGTCACTCTTTTCAGAAGTAGGCCTAGGATAGTTTGCTCTGCTTGTTCTATTTCTTCATAATAGATTTTGTTGTAAGCTGATAATTAACCATGAACATTCTGCTTTATTAATAAAAACATTTTAGTGCAAGGTCCATGTTGCCAAAATTTTCAAAGAATGCGTTGAGGTCTGCAAAAGCTTCTGCTAAATATTTTACTGTGAGTTTACTTGAGGGTTCTTTTTGCCCTCCTCCTTCAGTTTCCTTTGGTCTCATCTCTTCTTCAGCCCTGTGTTCCTCTTCCAGTTCCAACAACACATGGTTAGTCCATTTCTCAGGAGCTCCTCAGTGTCATCCTCATCTACACTAGGTTGAAGTTGTGTGTCATCTCAACCACTGACTTACTGATTTTTACAAACTTCTCATCTTTCTTAAATTTTTTTAAGTCATGGCCAAAACTCCTAAGTGTCTTCTTCCAGACACCATTCATACACTCCTTGGCGACATCAGCCCTGCCCAAGCAAAGTGCTTGATGCAGAGATAGAAGTTGTAATCCTTCCAGAATTGCAGTGTCATCCTTCCAGAATCCTTCCAGTGTTTCTGTTTCAGCAAAAGCCTGAGCAAAGGCCCTTCTCAGGTAACAGGCTTTAAAAGCTTCTATAACTTTTGACACATAGATTGGACTGAAGAGGTGGTGTTTAGAGGGAAAACACCACTTTAATAGTAGGATATAAATTATCAATAAAAATAAGATATTGGGGGGCATTGTCAACAGTAAACAAAATCACTTCTTTAAATTTTTTGTTGCATTTTTACCTGTTATCATTTATCTCTCCAGAACCTCTTCCACTTCCACCCACCTCCACTTTCTCCTCCAATCACCAAACGAAATCTTGAAAGATATGTTATTCTTCAAACAGTACTTCTTCATTTTGCTGACGTAACAGTTCAGGGGGTGCATCTTGGAAAAGGAGCAGGGTCATCCTTGACTTTTTATTTTTCCTGTGGTACACTGGTAGTGTGTGCTTAGTGACATACTTGAAGGTTTTGAGATTTTCACTGTGCCAGATCACAAAAAAATTCCAAATTTGCAGCCTGCAACAGCGCCCCCAAGCAAGACTGTTATTATGTCCTGAGAGTTTTGAAACCTAGTGTCGATTTGGTCTCCTTACAGATGAAAGTTCTTTCAGGCATCCATTTCCAGAATAAGGAGGTTTTATCAATACTGAATATTTGCTCTGGCAAGTAATTTTCCAAAATTGTCCAGCTGCCTTCACATCAGCACTTACAGACTCACCACTCACTTTCACATTAGGTAATGAATAATGATTCTTGAATCAATTACCAAGAGCTAGCAGTCAATTCAACATTGCAGCTGGAGCCAGCTTTTTCTTTCAACATTGCAAACAACCCTTTTGCTTTGGTCATGACCATCATGGTGTTGACAGAGACATGCTTCTGTGTCTTGTCCCTAATTCAGGTCACTAGAAGTTTCTCCATGTCTGATATAGGCCCTTCTCACATTATCATTAGTTTTGTTGCTTTCAAGAAAGCAGATGCTTTAATAACTTTCATTATTTTTCTCTAGTTCTTCCACATCATAGTTGTGGTGGGACGGGACATTCCTGGTTGGTGAGCAGTAACTGTCACTGATTTTTCCATCTTCATAGTCTTTAATCAATTTTCATTTATTTCCAGGTCATTGTTCTAGGTGGCTTTTTACTGACAACATTAGCAGTGGATTTTGTATGCATTGGGACCATGATGAACACACATGACATGAAATCACACCTGAGAGAAAATGATGCAATCAAGAGACATGGTGAGCATGAAATGTTGGAGGCTGCTGGCAGCAGAACATGGCATACTGTTTTACAGCAAACATTTTTTTACCAATAGAAAGACTACTTTCTAAAATAATGATAAAATATATAGTAAATATAGAAGTTGGTAAAACAGTCATTTATTATCATTAGCAAGTATTATGTCCTATACAGAATTGTATATGCTACACTTTTACGCTACTGGGAGCACAGCAGGTTGTTTACACCAGCATTAACAGAAATACATGGGTAATGCTTTGTTCTGGGACATTACAATGACTGCAATGTCACTAGGTGACAGAAAATTTTCAGCTCTATTATTACCTATTATAATCTGCTTCATTATGATGAAAACATTGTTATGTTGATCTTAACAACTGCAGGAAATCTAGCTATTAATATAAAATAAATCATCACGTTTCAGTCTTTAAAAAGTATATTAATAACTTGAATTTTTACAATATTGTTTTTAAAATATTCAGTCATAAAATATTATATTAGAAATAATAAAATATTGATAAACATGTGGAATTAGTTTATCAATTTTTCCTCTTGTGGAGAACAAATACACAAAATTATTCAGATAATGTTAGGAAACTAACATGAGCAGAGTACTGGTAACATCCCAAATATTTAAGGGGTAAATTGTAATACAATCTTGTCATGATATACTTGATTATTTCAGATGATTTTCCAATTAAAATAATGTTGGAAACCACATACATATAAAATAATTAGATCTTATATGCATACTTTTTAAGGAATATCTATCATGATCACCTAATTACACTTGAAGAATTGTAATGATATGAAATCAAACACAATAAGTAATGCTATATCTGTAAATGTAAGGACAAAACTTGTGTGTGTGTGTTGTAATTTTATGTGTGCCTGATTGTGATTCACAGTTAAGAGCAACTAAATGTTTAATTTAGTGTATTGATTCAAATTTTGGAAGAGAGTGCTGTAAGATATCAGTAATGCTCATCTAATCTTAATTTTCTTCTTTATATTTCTTTTTGAAATTTCAACAAAGCAGACCTCTGTTTTAATGAAAATGAATTATTTTTTTTACAGAATGTATGCCACTCTGTTAACCAGGCTGATATAACAGAAAACCCCAGCTATCGCTATGGCTTATTAAAAATTCAGATTTATTTTCTCTTATATCATTGTTACTGCAGGTCAGACACCCCATCCTCCATCTTGTAATAGCACAAATGAAGAATAAGTACCATCTTTTAATAATATCAGTCTAGAAGTGACAAACATAGACTCCATTGGCCAGCATTGGTAGACCATCCCAACCTAATTGTCTGGGAAACTTAGAATCACAAAGAGAAAATAGATATTTGCCAAATATTAATTCTTCCTGCCAAAATACCTATCCTTTCTCCCCCCACTCTCTGGCCTTAGGGTGCCAAAATCAGAGTGGTGTTTAGTTTTTTAAGTGATCCCCATTTACAGTGTTAAATCTGATTCCTATGTAACTACGATGGTTACCTTTATGTATCCATTTGGTTGGGCTATGGTGCCCAGTAATTTGATCAAACACCAGCCTAGATGTTACTGTGAAGATGTGTTTTACATACAAATAACATCTAAATCAGTAGACTTTAGATAAAGCAATTATTCTCCATTATATGCGTAGACTTCATCCAATTAGTTGGGAGCCTTGAAAGAAAAGATTGAGGTCCCCTAAAGAGAAAGTGATTCTGCAATCAAGCTGCCTTCAACTCAAGACTTTAAATCAATTCTTGCCAATACCAATTATTCAACCTCCACCTTTCCCTCTCATTTCAATCTCTCTTTCTCTATTTCTTCTTCTCTAAATATATATAGATACACATCTTATTTATGTTACATATGTATATGTAGGCCATACACACACACTTATACATCTTATTGGTTCTATTCCTCTGGAGAACCCTAACTAATACACAATCTCTCAGATAATAAAATATACTGAATTTTCTATGAACTGAACTTAAACTTTGTCACATGGTCTAAAACAGAGGACAATATTTGAAATTAGAACTCTCGGAAAATCCAAGATAAACAGCACCTCAATTTTCCACTAGAAACAAATAAAAATATTTCTATCGTCATGATCTGTGAAGGGTTTTAATCCTTTACTCCATCTCACTTCCAATTATGGTTCTATTAATAGTTTGTTTTCTTACAAAAGACAAAGGAATGAAAACTAAGGAACACTTTCACCATGCCAATCCTTAGTTTGTAGTTTTCCATTACAGATGTAATTACCTATCTGTGAAAGAACATTGGTAAAATGTCTGATGAGGTTTGGCAACTTTATGTTCTATCTTTCCCTATTTGGTTTATCTCTCCCATTTCCTATTATATATGTCATATTTTTTCTAGCTCTGCACTTAACAGGCTTCCCGGGTTTAATTTGTGTCCAGTGGGAGCACTATGTTTGCTTGGTTTTGAGGTTGACACTTCTCTTTGGATACTTACCATATGTTTTTACAATATATATTATACCATGTTCCTGTTTTCTCAGTGCATATTTTTATATGTGGGGGTTAACTAGAGCAAAATGAACAGATTAAATTATATTTCAGTCATAGTCTGGCTTAATTTTCACTTGAATTCATTTCAAACTAAATGTTTCATCCCCATTCATCTTTATTCATTCAACTGTATCCCATGGATGTTTGCCATTTAAACACCTGGTAGTTTTCCCTCTTGGCAGATTCTTGGACTGGTCCTAGGATTTCTAGTGCTTTGGTAGAATTAAGAACATTATTTTTCTCAAAGGTGAGGAGAGTTTGGGGGGAAATTTAATGTCACTTATTTCCTTGCCAAAGATATGCTAAGAGGTAAATTTCGTAGCTACAACCCTCCCTCCAGGGTTTCATGCTTGTTATAAATGTAAATCTTCACAGTGTAGCTGTGAGGACTTAGAAGGTGGAAGCGGCTAAGAGTCATGGCCAAAAAGCACTAATAAATAGTAGTATTTTCACTGTGTGCCTCACTATTAACTAAGAAATTCAGGAGACTCCAAAATAGAATCTATGTAACACAACATCAGAACTGCAGCTCATGTTTATCATGCATTCACTGCGTGCATAGTTTCATAACTAAAGAACTATGTTTTTACTATATTTCATTTCCACAAAGTGTGAGAGCACTATGCTCTCTTTCCCCTTTCAATCAATGTCCGTGCTATATACTTCAGCAAAATTGTTTTGCATGGAGTTATCAATTCTACCAATAAATCTTACTGCACTCTAACTGATGGCTCAAGATCAGCAATAACAGAACAAATCTGCCAGCCGTTTCTCTGTATCTCCTACTGTTCACATGCCCTACATTGCAACAGGAACAGAGGTTCTTATTAGAGGCAGCCTTGACCTTAATATAGATCTTTCTGGGGAAAGATTTCACACCAAACAGAGAAAGACAAGAGCAAATTACAACAGGTTTTTCAAATAGCTCCTAAAGCCACAAATGTAATATGTTCAGTGTGGGAAACATTGTTAATGATGCATGCATTTTCCCAGCCACATCCACATATTGATCAAACCCACTGTCAGTAGCATTGTATTTGAAAATAAAGATCACAGGCATGCACACACACATGTGTGTATGTTCGGTATTAAACTCTATATTTAAATAAATAACAAATATTGAAGGTAATTGTATTAATTAAAGATATATGCTATTAGGTAGGGCAGTATGACTCTCTGAGGTCTGTCATTTCTAAGTGAATTGACCTATCCTGAAAAAGATACCACTTTGCAAAACACTCAGATAAAATCAATACCGTTTCTACAATTCTGTGAAATCAAGTGAGATAAATAAGATTTACAAAATTTTAATTTTGTATGTACATGCATATAATAAATATTCTATTGCAATTTAATCTAGAGAAAATTTGTTTAGATAAATACAGGCAAAACATCTGTTTGAATTATAGTGTCTCATCCCATTCCCCATTTTAATTGAGTTTAGGTTGTTTTTTTTTTTTTTTTGGAAGCAAATTCTTAAGCACATTTCTCCAAAATAAAATAAGCAATCAAGAATAACAAAAATATTTGTTATCTATAAATGTTTTATGTGTGTTTCTTATATTTACATATAACAAAAGGATAATTTATCTTATCTGGATTTTAAACTATGACTTCCTTGTTTCAATATGTAGACATCAGGATTCCACTAAAATTTGATTCAAATATAATTTAAACATATTTACATTTTGTGCAATTTAAACACAACCTAATTAGAAAGCATACAAAAAGTAATATATACCAAAATTATATATGTACCCACCCAATATTTAACTTAATTTACTAAACTCCCCATTAACAAATAGAATAGAAATTCTCTTTATTGTAAGTTTGAGTTATCTGATATTTAAGTCAATTTATTTAAATAACTCTTGAGAGTTCAAATGATAAATTTTATTTGTAAATGGGGTTCTGTTTTTAAAATAAGTTTATTTTTTTCCTACTAACCATTTCACATAGCATGTAGCAGGAGAGCATATATTTTCAACATAACTCTGCAAAGGCTCTATTGAACCATTTTTCCTGTATGAAGAAGAGAGCGCTGTCAGTAGAGCCTATTATATTAGGGATACTTTTATCTTTATATCAGTGGCTTCTTTTGCCTTTAGTTTCGTGAAGGTTGGCTGGTGAGCTGAAGACAAGCAAAAAGAGAAGTCACATCAAATAACAGTTGTAATAAACTGAATATATAATAGAACTCAACTCATCTATTCTCTGTCTGTAAACTCAGATATATACTTTAAATTCAATACTTTATTACACATAGTAAAAGGTATGTTCATTTAGCCTAAAAGATATGATTTAATAAAGTCCAATAAGTAGAAAAGAAACACTCATAATTTAAAATTTGCTGTTACAATAGGGACCTGACACTCTAAGATGAAACCAAATATTCTCAATCTTATTCCCATCATTCATTCCATTTTGCTTTGTTCGGATATTAAATACTGTCAATATCTTGAGATTCCATAAAAAAATTCTGAAAACATTTCTATATTTTTCGTCTCTGCCTTGTAAATAGTATCAGTGTATACCTTGATTCCGTTTGATGCGGCAATGAGTTTTTGTTCAATGTGTACGCAGCTAGTACCTTTCGTCCATTCCTCACTTTTCATCTGACGGCCTTCAAGGCCCATTCTCATGGTTGCCAAAGCTTGTTCTAGAAAATATCCTTTACCCTTACCGTCATATGCGACAAAGTAGGATCGATCTGCTAGAGGAAGAATCAAGACCAATTCGATAGATGAAATCCTAAAGCGTGATAAAGACATGAAATAATGTCACAAAATTAGTGGTAAAAGACACTCCCTTTGGGGGCCAGCCTACTCTCACTCCCTCCCTCTCCTTTCCCAGGGTGGGAGAACACACGGGGCCACTCAGTTTACCAAGAAGCACAAGGAAATTGATAGAAATTTATCTTCATTTTGAAACATGGGTTCACTGCATGGTTAATCTAATCAAATGTCAGTGTTACTCTTTAGAAAAAGAAAGAAAAGAATAAAATAATGCTGACTGGATTTGATTATATTTTTCTGATCATATATGCATATCATCCATTCAGATCTAGAAAATACTGGTTTGAGTTCCAGACTTTCACAGTGCCAAACTAATAATCAGTCTATCTATCTATCTATCTATCTATCTATCTCTTTGGGCATTTTTTTTATTGTTAAGAAGAGCGGCAAACTTCAGAGTAGGTACAATATGTATTACTAAAATACAGTAAGTTAACTCAAACTCTATTATAAAAATGCATAATACTTATGAGTAATGCAGAGCCCTGGACAAGGATCCCTTGATGTTTCCTTATAATACTCACCTTCAGTGTTTTAAAAAAACAAAACAAAACAATAACATGAAGCTACCAATCCATGAAAAATTGATCTTCAGTACTTTAATGTAATTAGTTCTTAATTCCCTCTCTAGTTTCTCTGGATCTGCTTAAGTTTTGAAACCAATTCAAAGTAACATTTTAATTATTACAACATGTAACTTAATGGGAGTTCTTTAGCATCTCAGTGCAAACACCTAACAAATCCCTTTTACCCCATCCTTCTGATGTCTGTATTTAATTTTAAACTTTCCACAAAGCAAGCGTGCATTTTTTGCAGAGGAATGCAGTAAGATAATCACTGTTACACATTAACATACATCCTGGACTTACCATTTTGAGTCTTGGAAGAAAGAAATAAAATCTTCCTTCAAAAAACCTTGAAGGTGGCAGCCACTAGTCATAAACTGAAGATATTTTATCTGTCTCTCCAGCCCATTACCCTGCTTTTATTCCACATAATATTCCATTTTATTTTATTTTATTTGGTCATAATGAGAAAATTCAGCACTTAGAACCTACATGTTTTACTAACAGAATCAGAACCTAGGATTCTGTCAGATTACTAAGCTGTTTTTTAGGTTTGATTCAGGTACTTTTCAAAGTGTCCTAATTCCTTTGGATCATGAGGGTGTGATAAATTTTAGCTACACATTAAGTGGTCAGGTAGGAACCAAACAGAATGATATTCTTCAAATGGTCACATAAACTTATTGGCAAGCAAAAGAAGATTTAATTCATTTTTCTCTGTCAATAACTAGTCTTTTGTTAGTCAGGCTAAATTCAGTCATTTTTTCCCTTCCTTCAAAGATATTTGTGAATACAAATTTAGCTGGGTATAACATCTATTCCAAAGTGTGTCATAGTCATTAGAAATTGGCAAATAGATTCTAATAGACTTCTGCAAGCCAATATCTTTTTCTGTTTTAGGGAAATTATTTTCTTTATTGCCAAAAGAAAGTTCTCTAAGAGAGCTAGATTAAAATATATGTTTAACTACAACCAGCATCTCTAGTGAATTCAGTCTTATGTTAACCTTAATTGTTCAACATATTTTAAACCATGATTCTGAAGATAGAGCTTCATCTCTTTTGCCTATTTATTCATTTGCTTTTTTCAAAACAAAAGTTATAGTAAAAATGAATTTGGAATTATTAAAAGTAGTCAACTTATAGTTGAGATAAAGAGCAACTAAATCATACACATCATTGCATTTAGACCAAAGCAGTAGGGAAGGTCCTGAGCTCAGTTATGAACTAGCTATAACGTGCCCTCAGCAACCTTCCTTCTAACCCAGCCAGGTACCCCACTTCTAGAGTTCCCACACGTTTCTCCAGCCTAAACTCTCTGACATGGCTTCCCCCTTCTCCTTTGTCTAGTCCTACACATAAGCTTTTCCACTTGCTCATAGCTCTCAAAGGAATTTAAAGAAACTATTTCAAAATGAGGAATTATTGATCAATTATTTAGATATAATTTAAAGATATTAAATTGGTACCTTTGTGTATATTATGCATCAAACTCAAAGCAAATATGTAGAAATTATGAAAATTCCTGGACTGGTACTAACGAACAATCATACCCTAGGGAAAAGAAAAAAAAACAACACATTTTCAAAGCATCTTCAATGAGCCAGGCAGCATACTGGACGTTTAATCATTCAGTTATCACAGGAGTCTCTGAAAGTAGACCTCATTTTTTTTTGGATGAGAGTAAGACACAGAGAAAGCAGACTTAAATTGCCTGAGGTCATGCCTGCAGGAAGTGATGGAATAGTTGTCTGAACTGAGGTTGTCCAGGCTTTAATACCGTTGCTCTTCCAAGCACCTCTACCATAACTCTCAGGAAACTATTTTACTAAGCCTCAAAGAACACTACAAACTGGGCCATTTATGTTTTGATACTGTCTTTTTTATAGAGTTTTTTTTTCATATATAGAAAAATGAACTCAAAACTATACCCGAAAGTACCAGGATGTTGTGATATATAATAACAAAGTACCTCCTTACATCATATTATAAAAAACAAATTACTGTGTTACTAACATCCTTCCATCTACACATATTAAAATAACTCATGTTTAAATTCTATTCTGTAGTAAAATGCAATTTGGGGTGGTAGATCATAAATTGGTGACTAAAACCACTCTCACGTTGTAAAGGGCTATTGATATCTCTATCCTTTATATTTTCTTCCCATTTTCATTTTTTCTTCTATTTTTCTATTCTTCTACAAATACTCTTTTCTGCACCATTTCTTCTTTGATAGTTTATCAAAGGCACACACAGATATTGATTAATTTCACTTTTTCTCTTCTACTTACATGAAAAACCCTTAATTTGAGATTCCAAAATACCCTGAAATGTAGATACACATTTGGGGAAGTTGGGAATAGATACCAATCTTTCATCAGATTCTCAAAGGGATTATTGACCCAGAAAGTGTTATGATCTCAATGTAGAAACATTTCTTCAATCAAAATTGTACAGTGGCCCTTGATTATTCTTTAGAACTATTGTTCCTTTCATTTTGACTCTCATGGAAACTGGGGAAGTCTAGTAGGAATCTAGAGCCAAACTTTGTGACATATTTTTAAATCATTGCAAGAGGGAAAAAATGCTCCAATGTGTGAACTTTTATGGTAGACAGAAATTCAGGATGACATCCCAAGATGTCAAACACCAGTCTGGATACTAATGTGACAGAATTTTGCAGGTGTAAAGTCCCAAATCGATTGACCTTAAATTATTGGGATTATGTGGGTGGGAGTGATATAACCACATGAGCCCTTTAAAAGTAGTTTTCTTGGGCTGGTAGCAAAAGAGAATGAGAGAGATTTGAAGATAAAAAGGATTGGACATAAAGGAAATGCTCTGTTATTGAGATAAGACAACAAAGCAGGCTCTTGTGCATAGCCTTTAAGAGCTGAGAGTGCCCCCTAGCTCATAGCCAACAAGGCAATAGGGACTGTAGTCTAGAACCGCAGGGAAGTGAATTTTGCCAACAAACCTGAGGGAGCTGGGAAACACAGTGTTCCCAAGTCAGGACTCCAAATAAATAGTCAGCTGACTGACAACTTGGATTCAATTTGTTAAGGCTCTGAGTAGAGCACCCAGTTAAATCAGTTAATTCTGACACAGGTCATCTGTGAAATGATAAAAATCTTATTTTAAACAACAAAATTTGTTGTAATTAGTGATGTAGCAATAGAAAGCTAACACAGTTGCTAACTAATGAATCTTACATCTTTAAACTTTTTTATAAGATCTGGATATCTAACAAATTCAGAGTTGTTGACAAGAAAGTTGGTGATTTCTCACTCTGACAAGAAGTGTCCTTTTGAAAGAAATAAAATAAAATTTAAAAAGGGGAATTATTATGTTATCTATTGGTCATTTCTTATTTAAAACCAAAAATAATTTGAAAAAAAAGTCCATTCTGTTACTCCATTCTAAAGGATGAACAATAATAACCTTTAATATTTTTTAATGTATAAATGGAGATCTCTGTGCTCAGATTCTCTATGGAAATTTGTCCTGAATTGAATCAATTAAATAAACCTCATGTTTAAATAACCTTAAGAATAAATTTGGTTGTGTCTTATAAACATAGATTTCCAGTCACTTCCAAAGGAAAATTTTGATTCAAGTCTCTGGAGCAAATTCAAATAATCTGCATTTTCACATCATTCCAGGTGGTTCTTCTGACCACAAATATCTTGGGATACTCTGCCTTAGAACCCTTGCAATCTTATTGGAAAATCTAACCTGGTTATCTATAACATGTGGCATTAAAATAAAAAAGAGTGTTGATAGCCAGAGGAAATTCCCATCAAGCAATGAGGAAAATATAGAAGCATTAAAAGATACAGGATGTAACATATGGGCATATTAAGAGGATTAGCCAATGCAAAGGAACAGTGGACCCCATTGGTCAAAGGCTTTACCACAGACCATTGTGGTCGGAGAGGATCTACTTAGTTCAATGAACCATAGACCAGTTTGTTTCTAAAGCAGAAACCAAGAAATTCTGAAGTGCAGTCACCAAAACAGTGGTTCCGGACAGCTTCCAGATAGCACAAGGCATCAATGGAAACAGAGCTGGCTTTTCATTTCCTCTTTTGTCATTGCACTCTGAGTATCGTGTGTCTCACATCTTTCTATTTCAATTTTTCAGCCACTCAATAATTCTTCTCAAACTTTGCTATCAAGAAACTTGCCCAATATTTTAAAATTTACTCATTTCTCAAAATAGTATTTCACTTTATCCTTTTAAATGACCTCTTAATTCAGACAAAATTTGCAGAACTAGTTGTACATATAGAGATAGACTAATGCCTTGGGAAAGAATTTTAAAGGGATTTTCTTTCACATATACACACAGTTTCACAAAAAAAACCCCAGCATTTATATAAACTCTA